CATGTTAAGTCAATGGTGCACAGCCCCATGTAAGTCAATACAACCTTACTGAACGAAATGATCCCTATCTCAGCTTATGTGTGTCCGAGCACTTTAATATTTTCCAAAGTATTATATGACATTTTATTCTTCATGTTACACCTACGAATGATTCATTTTGACCATAGGGATATTTGCCAATAATTGCACCATGTCCTTTGCAAATCTGAAATTTTCTTTTTGATTCTGAATCTACCTTATTGTTACATCTTTTTACTGCATATAGTGTTACCCTACAATAAAAAATGCACAGACATCAATATTTTTACAATTTTTTATCAACCTGAACTCGTTGACTTATTTGGTTTCTAGGAAACAAGGCTATTGTATCCTATTGCTTCACATATGACCTCATAATCCATTCTTTCTGCAAACATGAGTTGAGTCAGAATTGGGTATATGGGTCAATATGCAATTGTGACCTTAGTAACGTCAACTATAAAACCAACATGATGTCATATCACTTGGAAACAGAAAAGTATTTCAACAGTGACAGGTTTGCATGTGTCATGTTTTTCTCATAAAAACTGTGATACTCCCTTAAGGGACTGAGAGAATGGGAGGGGGGCGGAGAGACGAATTTGAGACTAAAAGAGTTCTCCATCAAGAGATATGTTGATACTCTTGTCAATCAACAACCAAACAATGGTACAAGCAAGCAAGCAAACAAACAAACAAACAAACAAGTAAATAAGCATGGTAGCTAAAGAAAATTGGTACACAATTCAATATATTTCAAAACAAAAAAATCCTCATAGAATTGCCAGTGAATGGTAAAATCTCATACTTTAATCTTAAGGATTAAATAAAAGATTATCACTCCAAATGAAATACTGATGGTTGAACATTAACCAGCCTTTTTCATGTCTTACTAATTACCAACTTGATAAAATGTGGCATTTCAATCAAACTAATTCAGATCAGATATAAAGTTGGAAAATTGATATTCCTCATTCTTAGATAAAAAAAAAATGTGTAGATACAAGTATTCTGGAATGCAATTTAACTATATTTAATGAAAGTGCTTTGTAAAACAGTTCACAAAAAATTAAATTGTAAAATTCCAAGACAGAAGTCTGGAAATATTACCCTTGCATGAAAAAAATAACAACTGTCTGCTTCTCTTAGAAGAAGACTAAAAAGTAGGAAATCAACAAAGAAATAATAGAATTGACTCCAAAAGAATTGATTTCCAATTCTATGTGAATATTAGCTGTTTTGAAAATTAAGGAAAAACTATCATAAGAGCATCTGAAGCAACCTATCCCATCCATGCAAATAATGTTATGACTTAATTTCAATGGCTCATATTACTATACAACTTTACCTAGGATAATCATATTACCTGTTCAATTCACAAATTCTAACCCATTCTTTCTTTTCTGTTTTACACTTGAAATATTGACCACATTGGCACTTCATTGATGGGAAGTCTTTGGTACTAGCCAGAAAGCCAGATACAATGCTACAGGTGTTTGGAATGCCTTGAGGTTTGAAACTGACACTAATCAGGTTACCACAACACTAGAACACAAATAAAAACTGGACTCATGAAGGCCTGAAAGAAATCTGGAAAGAGGTCCATTGTTTTGTAGAATCATGTCTTCAAAATTCAAGTTTCAGTATATTTAAGGTCTTCCTCTTTGTCAGGATCACATTCATCCCAAATGCAATTGACCCACATCCCATTGTTAATAAATTAATCTCAATGGTCTGAAACTTCCAGGTTCTTATCCCATTTGGATGAAACCCATTGATCTGAATCCCAATCGTCCCATGATTTACTACAATGATCTACACTCCAACAGTATTATCATGCAGTCAGTTCAATCTGAGTGTTTATAACAATAGAAAGGTTCACAAGCTGGGTGACAATATAAAGTTGCACTGTACTATGTCAAACTGATGTCAAACTGACATCAACAGAATGGTTTCAATTAAGAGACTGATGTCAGAAACTACAAAGTCCAAATTCTGGAGTTAAATAAACAACAAATTCCATCACCATTTGTCAGACCAAGCAACCTTTCTCTTTAATTGTAAGTCTTGCAGTATCTGGACACCCCTCCCCTACCCAGATACACTTCTTGTTGAAATGAGGGGTTGTAAGGGGGGTCAAAATAGATTTTTGTAGGAATAATTGTAGCTTTAGACTAATCAACATGGATAAATAAGGGACAACTTGTAGACAGGCATTTATGTGTTTTTACTTGACTATGTCCTTAGGGGTTTTGACACTGTATATTACTGTATACTTCATTTTGTGAAAATTAAAAATACAATCAAATATAAATCGAAATCTTCTAACAATATATGATATGCCTCCCCTCACAAAAATATTTCAGGACATTACTGGTGCATGTTCCTCATTTTACAATGATTTAATGGTATCATAAATATATCAATGTCAACTCTGATTCTAACTTCAATTCATACTCCAGCTCTGAACAGGTTTTAAACATAAATAAACTGGTGCCACCATTAGTGAGTCAGAAAAGTTCATAAAAGTTCAAATGGTCATAGTAATAGGGTTAAATGTTTGTTTGTCCATCTGTTTGTTTGTTTCCTTGGTTTTTGTTTGTTTGCTGGCTTGTAAATAATTTGCCTAGTCCTGTCTGCTAGTCGTTAGTGAATACAGGTATTGTTTTTGCTATCAACTTTAAAGATTTTATCATTCTATTTCAGGCTTTATTCATCTAGTTCATGTACAAAGTTTTATAGTATTTACTTTATAGTTTGGAAGTGGAAGATGGGATTTAGCATTAAAAAATAGCATTCTATAATTACTTTTCAATAACAACATGAAGCATCTTGCTCTGTTCACCATGCGCATCATATATTCTTAAAAAACATTACTTGTACTGAGACCCAGACTGGCCACAAGTCACTTCTGTCTGTTTTTATTAGAAAATCCTATCAAAACAAAAAAGGTAAGGACACAGCTCAGTCTGAGTGAATCTGAAACTTAATTGAAACAAAAAATGAACAAATTCCTGACAGACAATCATGGCCACCTATGAAGCTAAGGGATCTGTATTAGTGTCTAAATTGTTTATTGTGAGTTGTTTGTTTATGAGAACGTCATGGATCTGAGATAATTGATACGCCATCTATCAACAATGAAGGCCTCCCCAATATATAACAGACCAATAAAACCTCTCAGCATTTAAACACTGTACACGCATATCAGCATGCAATTATATGATTGATATTGTTTATATTTTATTTACCAAATCATAATAGGCTAAACTTTCAGAATTTTCTTTTAAATGAAATAATTAAAATTTTCATATGACTGAGAGACTGGTCTCAATTTAGGATAGCAAAACTTGATTGGCTAAACTCCAAACTTGAAGGGAAGGGTTCTCAAGGTGGGTGGCAAGTTGGTACATTCTGATCATAAAACAATAATAAACTTCATATCAGTACAGGTAAGTAAAATTGACTGGAGTTTACTGTAATGGATTAACATGATTGCATGGATGATAAATCTATCTTGGAATCTGTTAATCGCTGAAATATACATCTTAACAGGTGAAGTCCCACTCAAATATGCAGTAACCCTTGCAATTACAGTATGTGTGGCCAGTTATTGTGCTTCTGGTGCTTGAAATATAAAGATATCAGGGGACTAGATATGGGGAAGTACAACACTGATTAAAAAATGAGGAGATGTTTCAGAGAAAGGATTCATTATGGTATAAATATCAAGAAATAAGAGGAGATATAGGAGATATGAAGTACATGTATGAGGGAGAACTGATATGATGGATAAAAGATATGAGTGAGGAGAGATATGAGGGAGGAGAGATATGAGGGGGAGATATGAGGGAGGAGAGATATGAAGGAGGAAAGATATGAAAGAAGAAAGATATGAGTGAGGAGAGATATGAAGGAGGAAAGATATGAAAGAAGAAAGATATGAGTGAGGAGAGATATGAAGGAAAAAAGATATGAGTGAGGAGAGATATGAAGGAGGAAAGATATGAAAGAAGAAAGATATGAGTGAGGAGAGATATGAAAGAAGAAAGATATGAGTGAGGAGAGATATGAAGGAGGAAAGATATGAAAGAAGAAAGATATGAGTGAGGAGAGATATGAAGGAAAAAAGATATGAGTGAGGAGAGATATGAGTGAGACGAGATATGAAGGAGATGAGATATGAAGGAGGAAAGATATGAGTGAGGAGAGATATGAAGGAGGAGAGATATGAGTGAGGAGAGATATGAAGGAGGAAAAATATGAGGGAGGAGAGATATGAGGGGGGAGATTTGAGTTAATTACCAAAATTACGCTAATCTTGGCACAAATAAGTCTGCTTTAGCAATGTTTATTTAGGAAAGGATCACTAAATATTTTTTTAAATAATGTGAACAATGTCTAGGTAGGGATTGGTATGAGTACAATTTAACAGATTGCTGTTTACACATAGTCAACACCGTGACCAATAACATAAAAAGCTAACAAACCAACTTAGCCTACTCATTGTCTTGTTCTATTCAAAACTCAACATCTTAAAGAGCATCTGAACAGAGAAGCATTTCATATGAAATCTCTTAAACTGCTTCATTTGGGATTCTGATACAGTGACATCTTTATGAAACTATAGATATCAAACTTGAAATTTGAGAGGAAATAAGAAAAAAAAAATATTGAACTAGCCGGCCTGATATACCTTAGCTATGTTGAACATCTAAAACCGTGAAAAATACAAAAGAGACAGTTATACTCATTATAACAGTAATACAATAAATAACAACAAGTATGACAAACAACAAAAATATAGGACATGTATCATAGAATTCAGAAGAGAAATAATCCAATTTCTTATGCTCATCATATCCTATCATACAAATATTAGAAAGATGTAAACAACAGTTTAAGCATAATATTACTTCAGAACATATACCCAAATATTCTACTATAAAGGCTGTAAATAAACTACAAAATCACAAACTTACTTCTTCTGCAATCCTCTATGATGCATTAAAATAATTTGAATACAATGAATACAGTGTACTGAATTAGCCCAAGGGCTACAATGTGGGTGTTGTTTCAATATAGGTTAACATGACTCTTAACAACAACTTGTCTCCTTCTCCAAACTGTGACTTGGGACCATCAAGAGCCTTGGACCTTGTTATTAGAGAATTAGAATGCAGAATAAATAAACATACATGTACAGTAAAACCTGTCTAATCTGAACACCACAAAAGCAAGATACAGCAGGTGTTCACATAGGATTTTTTTAACATGTGAGTAATCTGGGAGAGAAAACAAAGTGGTACTGAAATGTGGTGTATACTATCATAGGTGTTCAGATAAGAGAGGTGTTCGTTCAACTGTTACGATTCAAAGGTTTCACTGTATCTTCTTTGATTTACTGCTCATATCTTACACATTGTAATTGCTTCCATCAAAGCTGCCTGGATAATTTTTGTTAAGTATTGAAATTTGTCTTACCTAAAAATGGGTTTAATTCACTAGCTCGAATAGGTATAATATTCTCTTTTCCTTCTTCCGTCTGCTTCTTTTTACGCTTTTCTACAGTGGTTCCCTCTGGAGGAGATACTTCAGGTTCAGTGGAGCCACCTGGTGTAGGTTCTGAGTCTGTTTCAGTCTGTGATGATGTTTGAGGAGAAAATTCGAAATCAGTTATAGTCTCCATGTCCCGGGATCGTCGTTTTTCCTTGAAAACAAAATTGCATCATTCATTTTCCTGTAATCTTGAAATCACTTAAATATTCTCTGTTATATGAAATATCAAAATACATGTTTCAAATAGTCAACAATGTTTGTGTGTTTGTATCTAGGAAGTCCATGCTATCAATCATTTCTTGTACATAGAATTGATCTACAAGTGTAGACTAGACTTTATTTTTGTTGCCTACTGATGTGCAGATTGTTTTGCCAATCAAACAGTATGGTAGAATGTTGTTGAAAACTTTCTGAGGTAAAATACATGTGAAATATCCTAATATGAACTCGGCTAAGACAGCTGTTGTTACAGATCTGCTTGTTTTGTTGATATATGTACTGAAAAGACCTTTACCCAAATAATCCATCACAGACTCTTCGTATCTTTTCAATTACAGTTAATTCAGACACTTCAATTTGTTTTGCATATTCACAACATTGAAAATCTCCTGTCTGATAAAATACATGTTTGCTAAGATGTGACTTTTAAGAGTTAATGCCCAGGAGTTAATGTAGTACTGCCATCAATTTCAAAAATACATCAAATATTTCCTGTAGTATTTCCTGTAATCTTTATAAGGGCAATTATAACCGAATACTCATACTAATAATGCATTGCTTCGGCCCTTGCTGTGTTTGTAATTTGTTTTGTTTAAATGATAATAAAAAAACTTTAAACCTAATACTCATAAGGCTCCTTGTCTACACAGTAAATATAGATGTTCTTATTTAAAAACAAACCACAGTCCAAATGAATATACAGTAATTAAAGTGCCTGATAAACTATAAAATGCGCATGCGTCCAGGTGTTGATAAACTATAAATAGCGAAAAACCCAGGGTTTGTAATCACAAGGTAAGCCAGGACGTGTTGAGCAAACATCTAGTGTTGATATTGAATTTACATGTAGCCAGATAAGTTTCCTTATTGAAATTACATATAGTTATTAGCAATACTTTGTAGGTGATAATTAATAAAATATGAGTATACAAATATGAGAGAAATTTGCCATTTCGAACCTGTTGAAAGTTTGTGGCTCTCGGCTACACCGGGGAATTTACTTCCATGAGTACAGACACAAATGTGGGGCTCCCCAAGAAGTACGCGAGAAGGTGACCTGGCATCAAATGTACGACTAAATGCTTCTATCGAGTAGATAAAAGAACGAATACGACAATAAGTTATTGCAAACGACAATTCCGAGCATTCATTTCAATGAAGTATTTTGAACTTTGAAGTGAAGAAAATATGATTTTTGTTTTGAAACATGGATTCAGATGAACGTAACTTCATTCTGACAACTAATCAAAACTGAACAAAATTGATTATACGTAACAGACGATTTATTGTTTTACAATGTTTTGATCGGCTAAATGAATGAAACCAAGAAATTATGACATGTAAAATGGCAATTTTGAAATGTAAAATTTAAAAGTGACAAACACAACCTCCCTATCCACTCTTTATGAGCCCTAATATGTACATGCAGCAATGGTAGTGTACAGCTTATTATCACACTACTGGGCTTTGTATTCTAAAGCTTGTTGTTTTTAATAACACTGTTGCACTCGACGTAAATGTTTTGTGTGTGCGCAGTCAATGATAATCATTGTTTTATCCCGGTTATATGACCTCGGCAATTATAACAAAACCGTACTAAACGAAAAAAACGCAAATAAGAGAAAGCTTTCACACACATATAAAAAATGAACTAGTCTAATCCGCCAGTATAAACTCTGTTATATACGTAGCCAGGTCGGGCGCACACTTTAACAGCAGGCCATATTTTAAAATTCTGACATTCCAACTTTTATTGTATCACTTTAGTTTCAATAACACTTGTATTAACTGTCTACATACCTTTGGATTGATTGTAAACTGTATGTCGATCACAGCAGAGTGTGGTGATGGTGGGGGGTGGTCAGGGGTGGGAGGCTGCACATATCCAGTTGGACTCAGTGGACCCCCTTCTTTACTGGCCCTCTTTTGAGTAAAATCCAAACTGGATGGTTTTTCAACATCTGATGTTTTTCTGAGTACAACTTTAACTTCTGATGTCATTAATTTGACATCTTGTTTCTCATTTGTTGTATTGTCAGTTTCATTTTCAGTTGGTAGGTCAACTTTTTCATATTGTATGGTTTGACTACTGCGTTTTACATCAGTTTTTTCATGTTCTAGACCAACCTTTTCATATTGAATACTTTGGCTACTTCTGACACATTCCTGTTTTTCATGTTCTACATTCACTTTTTCATATTCTATAGTTTGGCTCCTCCTTCCCGATGGTTTCTGATGCACATCTAATTTTTCTGCTTCGTTACCTACCTTTTCATATTGAATTGTTTGACTACTTCTCTTAATTAATCTATCATCTGTTCCAATTGATTCTGAAACATCACTTTTTTGTTCATTCGGCATATCCACTTTTTCATATTGAACTGTTTGACTATTTCTTTTTATTGATTTACCATCTGTTCCATTTGATTTTGGAACACCATTTTCTTGTTCATTCTGCATGTCCACCTTTTCATATTGAACAGTTTGACTATTCCTATCCTTGTTATCGTTGCTTTTTATTTTTGTTGATTTGATTGCATCAATATCATGTTTAGCACCATTAGTATCACTTTGCATAGTGTTAATAGAGTCCTTTTCTGTAAACACACCTTTCTTACTTAAATTGGACAGGTCAATTGCATCATTATTTGCATTCTTGCTATGTTCAACACCATCTGCATCATCTGTAACAGTGTTTTTATGTTCTTTAACATTCTCTTTATCATCTTTAACACTGTCTTTATTCTCTTTTAAAATGTTATTATTATCTGTTGACAAGGTAACTGGTGAAGCAATATTTACACTTTCATAAATTTCATTCTTGATTTCATGAATATTTTGATGATTGTTTGAAATTTTCTCTACTGCATATATTGATGTTTCTCCTTCAATACTACCAGGTGCTACACTTTGGTTCCCTGTAAATTTCTCGACTGCATAAATTGCTTCACCCACATGCTCAGTAGTACTACTACTATCCACTGTCTTTTTTTCAGTATCACTACTTGCCTTTTTAGATTGACCAACAACAATTCTCTCTGCTTTAGAGTCCGTTGGAGAGTCTTGAACATGTTCATTCCTGATTACAGTTTTTGAGGTTTGGCCTATCTCCTTTTCTGGAGATCTTCCAGATTTTCCCACCTCCTTTACAGGAGATCTATGCTTCCTGTGGCCACCACCAGGTGGCGGTGGAGGTTTAAAGGTAGGAACTCGAGTTAAACTTGATTGTTTGACAAGATTTTCAACAGCAACATCCTCATTGGTGGGTTTAGTTTGTGTCGGAGGAGTAGAAGTTACACCCATCACTCGATTATGTGATGGGGGTGATGTAGTATTTCTTTCTGGCCTGGGTGGGGACATGGCCATCTGACTGGATGTTCCCTTTCTAGGTGGCTTTGGAGGAGTGCACTAAAATAACAAATCACTTTTGTTACAATAACTTTTTTGTAAATTCATGCATCATCGGATTCTGATATTGAATTTCCATGTTTGCAAAAAGTGCCATTAAAATGGTCTGGCATGGATAGTGACCAATGTGTCCTTGCTATTTCTCATGAAATATTGAAAAAATACTCAAAATATCATAAAAAAAGAATACTCATGAATTAATAAAACATTGATCAACTTTTTTGCCTGTTTTTCCTCATAAAGTATCCAATCAAATATCCTCAAGTAAAGATATGATATAGAGCAATGCTATATGATGACACTTACTGGTGAACCTGGTGACCGACTGAGCAGGGGACCCTCCATATTAATGTACCCTGGTTGTGTGATAGGACGATTGGTGGGGAGTTTATCAGGTGATCCTGAAATATTTGGAGATTTCCACTAATTATATAAATTTAAATCTAAATCCTAGTATATGTTCTTCCATAATATTTACGTAATGTTAAAATGTCATAATATTTTATAACACTATGCTTTATCACAGAGTATCTGTATTTATTACCTCTAATCCATAAACTCTTATGTTTTATATGCACACATATGATGCTGTGTGAAAAAAAAAATTACATACATCTCATAACTTGTTAACATTATCAATTGAGTAAATTTTCTAGTTACTTGATATGCAATGGAACTACAGTGAAACCTGTAAAGTGGAATACCTCCATAAATGGAAGCTGCAAAGTCCTAATACCAATAAACTAACATAAAATAAACCCCTGTAAGTGGAACCCTCCATAAGTGGAACGCCTCTAGAATTGGAACACCTGCTTAAGTGGAAAACTATTTTGAAGATCCAAAGACATTCAACTTCCAAAGGTCTCACTTTATTACATATCACTAACATTGCAACACTGCACCTACCTGTTCTGAATGTTTTAGGAGAGGAAGACAATTTTGCTGGTCTTGGTGGGGCTTGAACTGACTCTGCACTTCTGAAAGAAATGGTTTCAATTAAATAAATAGTAGTGCAGTCATATATAAGGAGGGGATGGCAATTGGTAAAGAGAGAAAAGAATGCATGGAAAAACTGTGATAATCCAGCCTCTGTGTAGTTTCTTGGATTGTTTAGGTCCTCCAAACATACGGTATATACAATATGGAATACATGTATATGTATACAATATAGAAATGTATATTTGGTTGTTCTGCATAACGTTTGATACAGGCACTGATATGCCCAATTTACTTAGGAAGTTAGGGTGTCATGTGCAATTGTAATATCATATTATGAAATAAAACTATAACTTTACAAGGCATAAACATGCAAAATGTCACCACCCACCATTTTTTACAGAAGCCAACTGCCGAACACAGTCCAAAGAAAAGTTAGAGACTATAACCATATGACATAAAAACCAACTTACTTTGTTTGTTCTATGTTTGGAGACTTATTGACTTTTGCATACAGACTCTCAGGTTCCTCATCTGCAGGTAGAACTCTTCTAACTGGAGGTAGAGCATCATAAACTGCAGACTCCCTTTCAGGAGAGCTCTCTGATGTAGCAAGTGGGGCCTTTCTTAAACTTGGAGAGTCGTCTTGACTTTCTTTGTCATAATCTGGAAAATATAAAAGTTAAACTTTTGTAAACAAGATTCTTTTGATGAGCAAATAAATCTGAAAACTACTGATAATTGTTTTTATGGTTTCTTGTTTTTATTTTCAAAAAATAAGCTTCACAAATTAAATCAAAACACAGTGATAAATATCACACTTCTTATCAAAAAATTCAAAATGGTCACCATGTAAACCAATCATGTCTAAAATTTAAGTTCCTGACACAGGTAAATGATTTTCCTTGAATTTTGGTGATAAGATTTTTGATGGGTCAGCCTGTCTAGACACATGCTTGCACCCCAATAAATACAAAAACATCAATATAGCACATTTGAAAAGGTGTGATTAAGATATTCATCCACCATGTCCAAAACCAGATGTTGGTACTCATCTGCTCTTGCATTTGTTAATAAAATTGAACAGATGAGCAGTTTTACTGGAATTTCTGCAATAAAACTGAACATGGCTCTGAGGCCCTGGGATTTAGAAGTAACATTGACAGCAGTTTGAACAAGACAATACTAATTCAAAATGTTATTATAAGAGAAACTCAATTATAATTTGAATATTCCTCATTCTTCCTAATGTTTGGAAAAATTGTTTAAAGAAGCAGGGAAAATATGGCAACAGATTTCAGACAGTCATATGTTGCATTGTGGCTGTTTTCTGAGGATTTAAACAGGTGCATATGTTAGGCCAATGCATTACCTCCAGGAAAAGTACTCGTAAGGATGATGAAAAAATTTAGACTGTGAGACAGGGAAGTTGCAAACACACCACCAACATATTTTCTCTGAAATGTTTCAATGTTTGTTGCATTTAAAGGAAACATGCATTCCATTGGGGGGTTTCAAAGATATCAGTTATGGATGACCAAAATAAAGATGAAAACAATGGATCACATGGAGTTTTTCCTATGGGAAAATAACAGAGGAATTAGTTTTCCAGTTTATTACAAAGGAATGCATTTTTCTTTTAAGAAGTTAAGTATGCCTCAAAACACAAAATATTGATGCATCAAACATTGAAAATACAGGTGTGGAAAGTGCTGAAAATCAGGACCACATTTCAGAAAAAACAAGCTGGTGGATTGTCTCAAAGTACAAACATTTTTATCATCTCTACAAGAGCTTGACCTGGAGTTCATGCATTGGCCTAATTTATAGACCTGTTTAAATCCTCAGAAAATAGCCAAAATCCAACATAGACTGTCTGAAATCTGTTGTGGTACTTTCCTATCAAATATTAAATATTTTGATTTATTAACTTGAAGAGTCATGGTGACCTTTTGCATCAATACTCTTAAAATGTTAGCTATCTTTTCAAAACAGGTAAATATTTCTTCATATGAAAAAACTGGAGCATACAAAAAATATTTGTTTAAGCCATAAAAGGATTGCATACTAAGTAGTTCTGAGAAATCAACCTAAAAAACAACTTCTCTATTGTTTCATACTAAGTAGTTCTGAGAAATCAACCTAAGAACACCTTTTCAGTGTTTTGTTATGTAGCGCTATAGCAACAAAACCCGATCAACCCAACCTGAGGACAAGAGGAAGAAGTTCTAAAAGGCTTGTATACTTCAGGATCATCCTAGGTAAGAATCTAGCATAGCCAGGATGAGGCATACGCTTTTTAACATCCTCTGCGAAATATCCTTCTATCAATGTTGAATTGCAAATGAATGTATAATTTTAAATTTTTGATTCAATTGTGCATAATCTCATCACATGAAGGGTTATCATCTTGTTTTTTCAGTTTTTAGGAATCAAAATTTATTTATTTATTTATTCAGAAAAATGTATATACAATAATAATACATGACTAATACTGACACCAAATGGGATATAAAAGTATAATGTCAAGTATCAAAAAAAGTATCCCTAGCAAATAAAACAGGGGAATATATAGTCTAATAACTAGTTTACAAGGGTATATAGGCATATGAGTTTCATATATTTATATATATAAGGGTTATGTACTGGGAGGTTTTGGATACAGGGTTTATCCCAAGGGAAATATGTGTACACATATTTCCCACGGGATAAACCCTATATCCAAAACCGACCATACATAACAGATGTATTTCATACCCACTGAGGTCCTAGATACATCATACCTTATAAAGATCCAAAATTCCAAAACATACTTAAAGGAACGTGTTTTCTTGGTCTTAAAGGGATCCAACACCAAACAAAACTTCTTAACGGAGAGGAATAGGGGAAAATGCTTGCCGGATTCTGAATCTGTGTATTTTTTAATGATTTTTCACCGTCTTAGAATTTCAATTTTTTCCTTTGAAAAAATGAGATTTGCATTGTTTTCCAATTAGAAAAATGAGTAAACATGAATAGCTCGAAATCTAACGGTGAGATTTTGTTTTAAAAAATCATGGATATCAAGGCTAAATATAGCTATACAGTCAACATAAAAAAGCAATGCTTGGACTCTTCATAATCACACAAAAAATTAATTAGTAAATGAGGTTTGATATTTGTGAGAATAAGTTGTACGAGGTGCAATGCTCTACAAACACAAGACTACAGGGTGGATTAGGATCAATGACACACATAAAAATTAATTAAAAAATATTTCATGATAATTATCTCAAACAAAACCAGTTAGCGAAGGATACGTTTCATTACACTCAATAATAGTTATCACTTTTGACTATATATACATATCTCATGGGAATGTATTTCCATCTGCTCAAGATATCATATTTTAGCTTCGAAAATCACAATCGTTGGATAATACATTTGTCTCAGAATGATAGGCCACCCTGTAGCAATGTAGCTTTCACTTGAAGTGTACCCTTGAGAATAATGAACTTCCTTTCAAATTGGTCTTGCTTTTGTGGTGTATGTGGCTTTTTAGCAAATCTGTTACGCTCATTTCTTTCCAGAACCATCTTGTTCAAATGTATCACGATATTATACGCGCATGTATAGAATGCATTGACATAGATATACATATAAATTATATATTGCACCTGTATTTACTTACATGGGAATATAAGTGAGTATATTCCCTTATGGAAAAATGCAAATGCATGAAAATATATTTTCATCTTATATATGACTTCAAGCTAACATATTATTTCATATTTATATTTTCATAGTTAGTTTAACATGAATAATAGATCCATGAGAACAATATTCTTTGTTTTTTTTTAATTGATGGGTTTACTGTGAATTCAATAAATTACAATTTGCAAGGGGTAAGTATACTGTATGAGCTAGCTAGTGGCTTTGTATTTTGTGTTAGGCCAGGGTAATTAAATTAGTTGTTTCTCTTTCTTCTAATTTCCAAAATTGATACAGGAATGACGGTTTTTATATTACCTTTTTTGTTTATCTAAAATGCTGATGAGGGACGGGATGATTTTTTTCTTTAAAATGACTGTTAAAACAAATAACTAATTTTGAAGGAAATAAACTGAGTTTATGTTGAACTTATATGTTGAATTTAGCCTACTTTACTGGTATATTTGATCATATATCAGTACCACGATATTGTCAATTATCCTGATCCATAAAAAGTAAATAAAGTGTTTCACACGCCATGGATGCGCGCGAGGTACGGTGTTTTTTCTCAGAAATGGCAGAAAAAAGGTGGAGGGGGATTGGGCCACACGCGGGCAAGAATGAGAAACAACTAATTTAATTACCCTAACCTTAGTTCATCCAGTAGTTCGTTTTTACTGCAAAGTAGTGTTTTTATATGCAGCTTAATAGCATAAAATATGTTGAATGAAGCATATGGTGTGGATTAGTCGTGTGACACACAAACTGACCAATACATGAGGGTATTAGCTACTTTTCACATAAACCAAAGGAGGTCAGTGCTTTTATTTCAACTGGGAGCTTACCTGAAAAAAATGTGAAAAATGTGAAAAAAAAATTTGAAATGATGAGCCATTACTTTTGTAAAATACAATGCATGGATAGTAAACTATAGTAAATTCAAATGTTTAATAAGACAGATTTCTTTTTTATAAATAGCTTGACAAGAGGTCAGATGTGTAGGCCTTTTTAAAGGAGATTATAGATTTTGACATTTTGGTGGAATTTTTAAGAGAATTCCATAGTGAAGGCCCATTACGTTTTATGGAACATTTGTTCGCATATTCAATATGGAAGTTGTCACATTGGCGGGTATAATAACTATATGTATTGCAGTTTATTTGGAAATTTGTATCGAGAAGAGAATTTAGTATTTGGTCACCATCTTTTACTTGGTACATGAAAATTGCTGTATTCAGCTTATTTATATCTTATATATTCAGAAGATTAAGTTCTTTGAATAATGGAGCTGTATGATCAAGGTATTTTTTCCTAAAACAATGCGAACAAATCGTTTTTGAATCATGTGAATTTTATTAAGATTTGTAGTTGTTACCCCAAATAATATTGCAGTAATTGAGTTGAGAGTGAATTAGAGAGAAGTATATACTGAGCAAAGCATTTTTTGTTAAAAAATTATATTATACAAGACCCCAATGCACTGAGAAATATTTTTTCTAAGTTTTTGATATGCTCTTTGAAAGTTAAATTGGCATCAATAGCTATTCCTAAGAAAGATAAAGGTCTTGCTTGAGTTTGGTGTCATTTATTTTGAGAAAGTGATTGTTAGAAGTTTTTCCTGGTCCAAAAAGAATCCATTTAGTTTTGTCAATGTTTAAAGAAAGTTTATTGGCATTGATCCAGTCACTGAGCTTTGACAGTTCTTCATTTGCGGTGTCAAATAGAGTGGGTAAGGCTTTGTGAGAGGCCAAGAGATTGGTATCACCAGCAAATAAGAAAAATTCAAAGAAATCTGCGCATTCCGTAATGTGAGTGTTTATCTAATTATATGTTATGGTCAATTGTGTCAAATGCTTTTGAGATGTCTAAAGATATCCCTAGTGAAGGAATTTCTCTTTCATTTGCACATCTTATCTTTTCAATAAAAGTGAGAAGTGGCATGTACGTAGACTTTTTCTTCTTGTTCTCCATTCCCATCATAATTTACATTCATATTTCTGTTTAATAATACATGGCTGCCATTCGTTAACCTAAATAATGGAAATGCTGTAGGGAAGCAAGGATAAGGCATAGGAGGCACTTGCCTCGTTACTTTTTTGAACAGACTTGGAAACTTTGCCTCATCTCTTTTTTCTTCCTGGCTATGCTACTGTAAGAACTTATTCATCATTCTCTTGTCATTTCAATTTACCAATGATATATAACATCATCTCATCGCTAATAAAACTAAATCTGATTGGCATTTTTCAGTTTTTTGGTGGTGCTAAATATTTTGAATATATTGATGAATAGCACATATATCAAAGATGCAATGTCTATCAGACAATCTAACAATAGCAGGCATCAACAAATGCTACGAGCTTAAATACTTTTGTTCTTGCTGTTGTTTGGTAAAGAATCATAAAATGAAATTACAATATTTAATGTTTCAGACCACTGATATCAGAATGGCCACCAGTGAATTGAGTCTTACGCAGCTTCAGGAAAAGCTTAAGATAGAAGACAAAGAAACAACTAAAGAAAATTATTTCCACAAGCCATGGCCTGGGAGTGATATTGCATTTCTCATGGATGATGAAAAACGGGTCTATGCATCAAAAGCAGTCCTAACAATGGTATCACCAGTGTTTGAAACTATGTTTAACAGTGATTTTAAGGAGAAGGAAGCAAGTGAAATACCACTTCCTGGGAAAAAGTCTGAGGATATTGTGGCTCTCATGGAAGTGATCCATCCTAAGACATGGGCTAATGTTACAGGTATGTTATTTTTTGTTCCAATCTCTGAAGAAATTAAGCCATAATATATTGGTTGTTTCAAATGAAAAAATTTGCTGAAGCAACTTCATGGGTCACTTTTCGTCCCATAAAATTATGTTTTACCCCCACCCCCGAGGGGTAACAGGGGGGCCAAAGCAAACAGTTTTTTTCATATACCACCATGAGGTAAGTTTATTCCATCAGAAGATACAATGAAAAATTGTTTTCAATGTTTTTTTATTCATATTATCTTCATATTATATCATAAGCAAATTTCAATCTTTATCACTTAATGTCCAATGATTCTCAATGTTTGTAACATGGATTTTGAAGATATTTTGTCATAATTCTAATCTATGTTTATTGATGGAAAAATTCAGGAAGAGAGCTCTGATATCATTCATAAAGTTCTGTGAATATCAAAATTCAAGAATTATTGAATATGGAAAAAAATTCTTTACTCACTCAGCCAAGAAGCAAGAAGGGGGGAGGGTGTAGACCAGGATCTTCATATTTTTTTTGTTTGAATCCCTGTAGAAATTAAGCTATTAATATTTTGATTTTAGATGAAAAACCTGTCTAGGCAAGTTTCTCGCTCACTTTTTGCCCCAAAATGATTGTCTGATTGTCTTAAAGATTCTCGCAATCTTTATCCAATCAGCGTTTGCGATGTGTATTGGCTCACATATAAAAGGTGAATCCAACTCAAATCCATGCAGGGGTGTATGAGGTACTCGAATAGAAAAGAGCTCGTGAAATCTGAATTTATATGCACATGGTCAATGTTTACACATGTTTGGAGTTATTGAAGAAAATGTTATATGGGTGTGGTTCCGAATTTGAAGTCATTGCTGGAAAATATGATTTTAATACGTGAAATTATATCTATAAATACAGCACTAAAAATAACAGTACACATGAAGTACATGTATGATTGTGTCCAGAAATGTTTGAAACCCTTACGGAAAATTCTGTCTGCATTTTGTCACCATTGCTCTTTCTTCCCGCATTCTAGTGCCGTTTGAATGAATATATTAATTAATGTATTTCTAACTAAAATATATCACATTTTTTTATAAACCACAAACATTTAGATCATAAAAAAAATTATTCAATACTTGAGTGAGCACGATATGCGAGGGTTACTAAGTTGACACAGTAAATGACCACTGATATTGTGTTAGTCCATGCACACAGCGTATTTTGCTAACACCCCCACTTTCATAGTGAAGTGACTAATTGGTCTATGTTTACGTTTTATTGTGTTTTGGGTTCCTTGTTACAGCAAGGGGGGCCAGTAAAGTAGACTAACATGTTTGCATGGTAAGTTTTGATCGAATATGTGAGACACTTTAAAGTGACTTCATAATAAATGGTTTGGAAATTAATGTTTCTCTCATTTAACAATAGACAATAAAGAGGGAGGAGATAACTGAGAAGATGTTTTAAAAAACTCCTTCTTTTGTTTTCTTAAATTGATTTGAGCTGTCGAGTTATCAAGCTAGCAAATTAGAAAAGACTAATATCTATCTATTTATTGGAATCACTTTTAAAACAGTGGCACACACATTAAAAATGTGGTGCATCTGCATACAAACATGCTTATACAATTACAGTCAAAATTAAAATACATAAGAATGTCACTAAAATTACACCAATCCTTATTATGGGGAATATAAATTACTTTCAGATATTTCTTTACACATTGATTTAAAATATGAACAGCCATGGCTGGCATTTTTTCCAAACAAAGTACTAAAATCGTAAAATAGCGAGTAAAGGCTGCGCTTTTTTCAAGATGGCTGCCATGTGCTTCTTTAATACCTACATTTTTAGCTTTATCAATGTCCTATATAATTTTTCTACATTTAAATCATATTGCTATTACAGTATTATATGTGTACCTAAATTACTGTAAAATCGGCATTAAAATGGCCGCCATTTTCAAATGAGTGGCCATTTTAAAAATCGGCTTTTGAGCAGAACTTCTGCCCCCATAAGGTATATGTGTACAAAATATGAACAAAATCGGGTCAACGGTATTTGAGTTATTTCCCGGGCGGACGTACGAACGGACAGACAGACGGACGGAGGCGTTCCCTATATTCCTCCGAACTTTGTTCAATGGGATAATAAACAGTAGTAATTGCTTTTACCCTGTAAAAGATTAGTCTGGATATATGCCCTTTTGGTCCCTCAGTTAAATGTATGTGAAATATGATTTTTATAACTGTCCTAGTTATATTTGATAAGTATATTTACTTTTTCATGAGTTTTGATGAATTAGCCCCCTGCTGAGAGTCAAAATAAGTATCCTAACAGAAAAAAATAATCATTATCATAGATTAAAAGCACCAATGGCAACATGTATGACACATAAAGTAGAAATAACTTAAAGACCCATAAAGAATTAACAAGAACACAAATGTGTACAAAATGTCCCCACCAAGTGGTGATCCCATGAAATGGTTATCCTGAAAATGAGTAGACAAGACTTTACCAACACAATTTGAGGACGGAAAATCCAAAGTGGCCACCTTAAAATTTACCCAGAATGCCAAAAATTTAGTCAGTTCTAGATTTTCATAGTAAGAACCACCCCTGAAAATTTGAAATTGATCCGTCACACAGTTAACCAGAAAACATGTAAACAAGACTTTACAGACAAGATTTCAGGATGGAAAATCCAAAATGGCTGCCTTGACATTTACCAAGAATGTCAAAAAACTAATCTGTTTGTAGATGTTCATACTAAGAATCATCCCTGAAAATATGAAATTGATCTACCAAACGGTTTACCTGAAAACGGGTAGACAAGACTTTACAGACAAGATTTTAGGACAGAAAATCCAAAATGGCTGCCTTAACATTTACGCAGAATGCAAAAAAAGTAATCAGATGTAGATTTTCATACAAAGAATCATCCCTGAAAATTTGAAATTGATCTATCAAACCGTTCACCTAAAAACGCGTAGACAAGACTTTACAGGCAAGATTTTAAGACGGAAAATCCAAAATGGCTGCCTTGACATTTACCACGAATGCAAAAAACTAATCAGTTCTAGATTTTCATACTAAGAATCATTCCTGAAAATTTGAAATTGATCTACCAAACAGTTCACCTGAAAACGAGTAGACAAGACTTTACAGACAAGATTTTAGGACGGAAAATCCAAAATGGCTGCCTTGACATTTACCGAGAATGCCAAAAAACTAATGAGATCTAGATTTTTATACTAAGAATCATCCCTGAAAATTTGAAATTGATCCACCAAACGGTTCACCTGAAAACGCGCAGACAAGACTTCACAGACAAGATTTTAGGACCGAAAAATCCAAAATGGCCGACAATAAAAAAGTCCTTATGAGTTTTTGCTGATTTCTTTTTACAAAATTATCACATATAGCTACTGTTAACAATAAAGTAGGCTTTAAAAGCAAAGTACATCTGAAATTATTTATAAAGCTACTAAATAGTTAAAGTATGAAAACTCAAAAACACCATTCAATATGATACAAAGTATTATCGCACGCTAACTTTTCTTAAGACATTCAAAATGGCTGACATGACTGAGCTAGCAGGTCCAAAACCTAATCAGATCTAGAATGAAGTGAGCTGAACAAGATGTTAAAGTTTTAAAAGCAACTGTGAAGCAGTTTTTCTTAAAGTTTGCAGACAAGGATTTTAGCATTTGACTTCAAAATGGCCGACAGGAAGTAGGTTTCGAGTTAAATTTTTTTCATCCACATCTATAGGCACTCATAAGTTATTCCTGAAAATTAGAAGGTGATACCTGTAGCGGTTTTAGAGAAAACTGCCGGACGTACGGACGGACAGACAGACAACCAGACAGACAGACAGACGGACGGACGGACGCGCCTAGGACGACAATATGGCCCCACACTATGTGGTGGGGACATAATAAAAAGAAAATCATATTTTTTTTAATATATTTTAGGATTTAAGTTTTTTTCAAATTTTTGAATTTCCTGCCAGTTTAATTTGAAGGGGGAAAACAAGATTGATGCCATTTGATGTAAGAAATATCAGAAAAAAGAAGCTTTACTTTTAATTTTCACTATGAACACAGTTTTCCAGTTTAGGTTTTTTGATTGATTCTGACTCTTCATCACAAGGGTCATGTATAGAGATTATAAAATTGAAACCAAAATACATGTATTGTGCTCAGCATGAATTTGACTGAAATATGTATAATTTCACCAACACAATTACTCAGATGCGAGTAGGTAGTTACCAGTTTTGCCACCAGGTGGCTGATTAGGGGGAATTAACATGACAGGGTATTACAAAATTCCCTTAAACTTGAATATGCATCAGTTTTAGTGGTTCACTTTTCATATTACCCTTATGTATCTGATAGTTATACAAATTAAAATATGTCCAGTAAAAGAAAATATAATCTGCCCAACACAAGAAAAGATATTTCACTTTTTGTGGTTTTACAACATGGGGTCTATGGGGAATCTCCCCGACCTAGAAGTCACATTTTCAAAGAAAATTAAATTTCCAAAGTTGATAAACTCTTTTCAAAACCACATTTCTAAATGTAATTTTACATGTAGATTCCAAATATGACATCAGTTTGACTAGACTGAATTGTGAGTTTTTAATGACGTAAATTAAGATTATTTCTACTCGCATCTGGGATATTGAAGTGTCAAAACTGGATGCTCAGTAACTTTGATTGACTATAATCCCTTGATTACCCAGATAAACATCAATTCACTTATCAAGAAATACCATTCAATGTCTATAAAAGAAAGTAAGCAATGTTTTGGAGGATATGTTTCAAACTTTTTCTATAAATTTACTGACTTAGTATTTGCTCTTTAATTTTTTTTTCAATTCTGACAAAGTGATATGCACTGTCTTTGATGCCAATATTCTTCGTTAATTGTGATAAAAATTAATATTTTTGTACTCTCAGAAGAGGGATAAAATATTGGGGTTTAATAATATGTGTGATTGATTTGGTTTT